GGGGAGGGGGCAGTGGGCAGGCAGGCAGGGGGGCGGTAGATAGGTGGGGGGGGGGCTAGGGCAGAGGGTGGGCCTGGCCCCCTGTTCTGTCATCTCCTGGGGTGGTGCCTGGGACGCAGCAGGCTGGTCTGGTACCTGCCCCACTGAGCCTGGCACGCCTGCGCCCCTGTAGGTCTACTACAGCCTGTGGCGGAAACTGCTCAAGGCCTTCTGGTGGCTGGTGGTGGCCTACACCATGCTGGTCCTCATCGCCGTCTACACCTTCCAGTTCCAGGACTTCCCTGCGCACTGGCGCAATTTGACTGGCCTCACGGACGAGCAGTGCGTACACGGGCGGGGTGGGGGTGGGGGGCAGGGACCTGCCGGCAGTGCTGATGTCGGCCGCCCCCAGGCTGGGCGACCTGGGCCTGGAGCAGTTCAGCGTGTCGGAGCTCTTCTCCAGCATCCTGGTCCCTGGCTTCTTCCTGCTCGCCTGCATCCTGCAGCTGCACTATGGCCACCAGCCCTTCATGCAGCTCACCGACCTGGAACACATGCCTGAGCCCAGGGCCTGTCCCTTGCGCTGGGCCCACAGGTACCAACTGCCCCACTCCGTCCCCCTGCCCCTCCTCCCCGTGCCTCCAGCAGGTAAGGGCATCACCACCTGGGATCCACAGAGCACCACCCCCAGATGGGCACATAGAAGGTTCTTATCCTGGCAGGAAGGACACTGCGTCACATGAGTGGCCACCCCTGTCCGTCGCTGAGAACCAGTGCCTTCTCAAGCCTCTGTGGGTCTGAGGCACCTCGGGGAGCCCAGGCACACACCAGTGGCCCCCAGCAGGGTGGTACATGGGTGGCAGGAGACAAGCTGGGGGGCTCCCCCCACCCCTTCTCCTGAAGAGAGGAGGGGAGCTGGACGGGAAGTGACTCCTTGCCCTTCACAGGCAAGACGTAAGCGAGGCCCCATTGCTGCTGGGGCCAGAGGCAGAGGCAGCCCCCAGGGTTGACGGGCTGAGCTCAGCCAGCCCCTTTGAAGGTGAGAGGGGTGGGCAGAGCCCCAGAAGGAGGTGCAGGGGGTCAGAGAGCCTTCCTGCAGCCTGGCCCGGCTCACCGCCCACCTTCCCTCCCTTGTAGCCTCGACCAACAAGTGGGGCCTGGTGGCAGAGCGGCTGTTGGAGCTGGCAGCCAGCTTCTCGGCCGTGCGGGCCCGCGTGCAGGTCTTCGTGCGGCGCCTGCTCGAGCTGCATGTCATCAAGCTGGTGGCCCTGTACACCGTCTGGGTGGCCCTGAAGGAGGTGAGCATTGGCTGAGACAGGCATGCCCCAGAGAGTGGGACAGGGACCTGTCCTTCCAAGCCTGTTTCCTCACTGTGAAATGGGTCCCCGTGATCCACCCCTGCTGGGCTCTGAGCTCAGGTGTAGGGGTGCAGGGAAGCCCTAGGGCACAGGCCACCATTCCCTGCCCTCCCCTGGGCTCACCCCACCCCACCCCCAGGTGTCGGTGATGAACTTCCTGCTGGTGGTGCTGTGGGCCTTTGCCCTTCCTTACCCCCGCTTCCGGCCCATGGCCTCCTGCCTGTCCACCATCTGGACCTCCATCATCATCGTATGTAAGATGCTGTATCAGCTCACCGTCGTCAACCCCCATGAGTACTCCAGCAACTGCACCCAGGTACTGCCACACAGGCCCAGAGCCGCTGCACAGGGCCCATGCTGGGGGCCTGGAAGGCTTCCTGGAGGAGGCATCCTCTCGCCCCTCTTCGTCCCACACTCAGGTGTCTCACGGACACTTTGTGGCTCGGGAAGGTGCCTGGTCTGGCGACTGCCGACGAGTACAAGTCATGCTGCAAGGGACATGCAGCCCTGCTGGAGCTTTCTCCACTCCCTCACCCGTTCCCTCGAGTATCTCTCTGTCCCTCTGGCCTGTCCCCGTCCCAGAGTCGTGCATGTGAAATGTGAGGCAGGGCTGGGCTGCCGCGCATTTGACCGGGCTTCTAGCCTGTGGGTGGTTGGGTAATGCCCACCTTCCTTTTGCCAGCCCCTCTCCAACAGCACCAACCTGCTGAAGACAGAGATCAACCAGTCCTTGTTGTACCAAGGACCTGTCGACCCTGCCAACTGGTTCGGGGTGCGAAAGGGTTTTCCCAACCTGGGCTACATCCAGGTAAGCGGGGCAGGGAGGGGCCTGCAGGTGGACGGGGCGGGTGGGATGGGGGCCGGGGGGCCGGGCTGTGAACAGGCGCCCCTCTCCCCCAGAACCACCTGCAGGTCTTGCTGCTGCTGGTGTTTGAGGCCCTCGTGTACCGGCGCCAGGAGCACTACCGCCGGCAGCACCAGGCAGCGCCACTCCCTGCCCAGGCTGTCTGCGCCGACGGCACCCGTCAGCGCCTCGACCGTGACCTGCTTGCCTGCCTCAAGTACTTCATCAATTTCTTCTTCTACAAATTCGGGCTGGAGGTGAGAACAGTGGTGTTGACCATCCTCAGGGTCCTGCTGGGGTTGGCAGCACACAGGCACCGTGGCAGCTGTCCTCAGGCTGTCGAGCAACAGAAGAGAGGACAGGCGCAGGCTGGCTCACGGCAGGGATGTTCAAGGCACAGGCCAGGCCCTTGCCCCTGCCTGTGTCAGGGTTCAGCCTTGCTCTGGTTCAGGACAGTGGCCCTACGTGCTGGTGGGCCGAGCGTGCTGAGAGGCCTGTCAGCTCAGAGATGGTGTGGACAGGCTGGTGGGGGGCCTGGCTGAGGCAGGACGTGGGGTTTGAGTGCCCTACACCCCTCAGCTTAGCATCCTCCTTACAATGGAGATCCAAATGCAGGAGAGTGGCCAGCCCCTCTCCACACAGGGCCCCATCCTTGCAGCAGGGGCTCTGTGCTGGGCCTGCTCCTGTCCACCTCTGGGCCTTGGGACCTGCTGGGCCTCTGGGCTGAGGCTTTCGGAGGCCGGGAGATAACACTGCCTCCTGCCCACAGATCTGCTTTCTGATGGCAGTGAACGTGATTGGCCAACGCATGAACTTCATGGCCATCCTGCATGGCTGCTGGCTGGTGGCTGTCCTCACTCGCCGGCGCCGTGAGGCCATCGCTCGCCTTTGGCCCAACTACTGCCTGTTCCTCACGCTCTTCCTCCTCTATCAGTACCTGCTGTGCCTGGGCATGCCCCCCGCCCTGTGCCTGGGTGAGCCTAGTGGGCATGTGGGAACAGACATAGGTTTGGATGTGCAGGAATGGGCATGTGGGAGTGAGTGTGGAGGCCCAAGTGTGGGAAGACAAGGCACCCACGGCTCTATGCCTGGTGAGCTGAGTGGGCGTATGGGAACGGATGTGGGTTTGGGTGTGCAGCCATGGGCTTGTAGGAGTGGGCGTGGGCATGAGGCCCTGTGCCTGGGTGAATCTGACTGGGAGCTGGTATATGGGTCCAAGTGTGGTATGAGGGAGTCAGGGAGAGACCAAGTGCCTATGAGCTGAGATTGGAGTGGCATCTGGGTACGTGGGTGTAACCAGGGCTTGTGGGCACTTTGGGGGCCTGTGGGAATGTTTGCTGCCTGCCCTGGCCCTTCAGCTGTCTTCCTGGAGTTAGCCTGGGCCCTGCTACCCCCTTACCCCAACTTACTGGCCACCTGCAGCTCCCCTGGCTGTGGCCACCTGGGTCTCTGGGGGAGCAGCACTGTCCTCAGCACCTGCCCCCAGATCACAGTCTCCCTTTGCATCCATCATCATCCTGTGGGGAAATCCAAACGTTTCGAAGAGCCAAGTGCACATCCCTTTTAAAGTGACCCCATCTTTTTGATCCCACCCTTGTTCTCTGGGCTCACGGGGTCCAGCCTCACCTCGATTCCTTTGTCCCCTGAAATCAACCACTTCTCCAAGGAGTCCTCTCCTCTCGGGGGACAGTGGTGTTTAGGAACCGAGAGCTGGGCAGGGGTGCTCACTACTTCTGGGTGTGATGTCTCCTTCCCAGGGAGCCTTCCTCAGCCATCTTGTCTTGAGTAAAGCTGTTGGCCCCATGGCCGTGTAGGCAGCCAGGAGTCCTTTCATTCCTGCAGGCCTAGTACGTGCTTAAGACGTGTGTCATGAGAACATGCTGGAAGTTCTGGGCTTGTGTGTCCTTGGACTCTGTAAGCGTGTGTGTGTGGTTGTGTATTGTGTGAGGGTGCACACGAGTGTGTAGATGTGTGTGACTGCATGGGTATGCGTGTTTGAATATAGCATACATAAGTATGTGAGTGTATAGGGTGTATGTATACACACAAGTGTGGGTGTGCATAGGTGTGAATGTGTGAGTGATGTGAGTACATAAGTATGTACATGTCAGTGAGTGGGTGTGAGCGTGCATGGTGTGGATGTCTGTTGAGTGTACGTCTGTGTGGGTGTAAGAGCTCCAGTTTTCATGGACGTGGGTGGTCTGAGAGGGTTTTGCAGTCCCTTGTGGACACATCTGGGGCCCTGGGTCAGCTTGGCCCTTTCCCAATGCACCCCTCTGCCCACAGACTACCCATGGCGCTGGAGCCAGGCTATCCCTATGAACTCTGCTCTCATCAAGTGGCTGTACCTGCCTGATTTCTTCAGGGCTCCCAATTCTACCAACCTCATCAGTGAGTGACCCCCAGGACTGGGGCTTCCCCTGTGTGGGGAGGGCACCCTCTCCTGACCTGCATACAAGAATCTTAAATCCATGAAGATATAGGTTGTACATACTTCGCTCCACCTGGGTCCAATCCTAAGTTTCCCAAGTAGGCATGCACATCTTACAGACACAGCTGTGGGAGACAGCAGGGCACAGACTTACCAATACATACAAGAGAGGCTGTGACGGCACACGTAGACACTGGAGTGCAGACGTGCACATACATGTGGACACATGAACATAGGCACTGCACACGTGGACACCAGGGCACAGACATGCATGTATCCAGAGATGGAGATACAGATCCAAACACGTGTGGACACCAAGGCCCTAACATCCACATACATGGGCACAGGAACATGGACATGCACACGCTTGGACACAGGGATGCAGACCCTGGAACCCAGATCCGCACATGTGAATACAGACATGCCCACGTGTGGACATAGGGATGTAGACTCTGGAACCCAGATCCACACATGTGGATACAGACATACACACAGAGAAGGTACACATGGACACCGGGGTACAAACCTGCACATATGTGGACACTGGGCTGCACATGTGCACACAGATAGGCAGACACCCATGTGCATTGACAGGCACATCCTGTGCAGAAGTCTGGGCCCCTGGGATCACATGGGTGGATGTATGGCCTCTGTGCGTGCATATACCGATACACCCCTCCTCCTGGGTCTGGGGCCTTGGGCACGCCCAAGCGGTGAGCTCCTGGGACAGCGCCCTGTGTCCCCACAGGCGACTTCCTCCTGCTGCTCTGTGCCTCCCAGCAGTGGCAGGTCTTCCTGGCGGAACGCACCGAGGAATGGCAGCACATGGCCGGCACCAACACAGACCATGTGGAGCCCCTGCGGGGGGAGCCCAACCCTGTGCCCAACTTCATCCACTGCAGGTGGCCAGGAGCAGTAGGCCAGGCAGGCCTGCAAAATCCCAGGGAGTTAGAGTGGGAGGCCCTGGGGTCCAAGCCACATAGGGGACCAAGGGGACCAGGGAGGCCCTGCAGTCACACCTGCCCCTGTGGCACAGGTCCTACCTGGACATGGTGAAGGTGGCTGTCTTCCGCCACCTCTTCTGGCTGGTTCTGGTGGTGGTGTTCGTCACGGGGGCCACTCGCATCAGCGTCTTCGGCCTGGGCTACCTGCTGGCCTGCTTCTACCTACTGCTCTTCGGGACTCAGCTGCTGCGTAAGGACACGCATGCCCGCCTTGTGCGCTGGGACTGCCTCATCCTGTACAACGTCACCGTCATCATCTCCAAGAACATGCTCTCGGTGAGTGGACTGCCCACCCATCCCGACGCCCCTCCAGGCCCAGAGGGCTCGGGCCAACCCTCCTGTCCCCCAGCTCCTGTCCTGCGTCTTTGTGGAACAAATGCAGAGCAGCTTCTGTTGGGTCATCCAGCTCTTCAGCCTCGTGTGCACCGTCAAGGGCTACTACGACCGTGAGTGCGGGGGGCGGGGGGCCAGAGGCACACCGTGAGTGTGCGCACAAAATGTACAAACATAGCACACGTATGGACATGACATGCACGATACACGTGACAACACATAAGGAGCATGTACAGCGCACACGTGCATTGTGTACACATGGAGACACCATCCACATACTTCACACATGTGCACAGCTCATCTATATGCACGGTACACACAAAGCACATGCGCCATTCACACAGCTCACACGCGTAGCACACAGCACACACATGCGCACAGCTAGCTCACACACATGCGTGGCACACATACGTGCACGGCACACTCGGCACATGTGCTCACGCCCTGGCCCCTGACCCGGTGCCCTGTGCAGCCAAGGCCATGGGGAGCAAGGACCGGGACTGCGCTCTGCCCGTGGAGGAGGCCGGTATCATCTGGGACAGCATCTGCTTCTTCTTCCTGCTGCTGCAGCGACGGGTCTTCCTCAGCTACTACTTCCTGCACGTGGCCGCTGACCTCCAGGCCACCGCCCTGCAGGCCTCCAGGTGCAGCCCACACTCGGGCCTTTGGGGTGCAGCTCTGGGGCCCAGCCTGAACATGCTGCTATTCCTGCCCAGAGCTGGGCTGGTCTGGCACGGCCACTCCTGGTGTTGGGGGGTCACTTGGGTGGGGGCTGAAGCCTTGCAGACCTGTGTCCTGGCTGTCCCATGTCAGCCAGCACGCTGGGGCAGTGCCCCGAGGAGCAGCACACTAGGTGGGCTGTGCCTTCAGCTGGGTCCCCTTGCTGGGGGGTGTGGCACAGCGTCTCACAGCCCCCGGGGCCCCCACCTGGATGGGGCCTGGTGGCTGAGCACAGTGGAGCAAGGGGCGTGACTGCCCAGGGCCATGGTTGTGGGGACAGGGAGGGCCCCAGGTCGTGCTCAGTTAAGAGGGAGCCCAGGCCAGCCTGGCCATGAGAGACCTGGCCAGTGAGTAAACCCCAAGGTGAGAGGCTGGAGAGGTCCTGAGGGATAGGGTGAGGAATTCCACAGCTGAACAGAATCCCTGTTCTCACCCCCACCCCACAGGGGCTTCGCCCTGTACCACGCAGCCAGTCTCAAGAGCATGGAGGCCCACCGCAGGGCTGAGGAGAAGTCGCTGGCCCAGCTAAAAAGACAGTAGGTGCCCCTCACCCAGGTCCTCTGGTGGGTGGTGCTGCAGGTGGGCCCACTGTAGCTCAGACTGCTCCTCCTCCAGGATGGAGCGCATCCGCGCCAAACAGGAGAAACACCGGCAGGCCCAGGCGGGCCCCACAGAGGCTGGGGACCCCAGCCAGGAGCCAGGTGAGTGCCCGCAAGCCCACTGTACCCACACGCACTGTATCTGCGTGGCGATATCCCAGCTCCCAGCTTGTCGGCTTGGGAATGGCTGGTGTCACCTCCCCATCACGGGGACTGTGTTCATGTCTGCTGTGTGACTGGCTGCCCACCATCCCCCGACTGCCTGCTCATGGCCGACTCAGGCCTCCCTGCTCTACCCTCCACAGGGCCCAGCAATGCAGGGGGCACCTCCCCGGCCCGGAGACAGTGGTGGCAGCCCTGGTTGGACCATGCCACAGGTACACCCCCGGGCCTGCCTGACCAGCGCCCCACTGTCCCTGTTCCAGCCCCTCCCGCGTGGAGCTCTGGTCTGCACACATTCTCCTGGAGCCACGACAGCAGGGCTGAGTGCCTGTCTCCCCGAGGCCCAGCGACAAGCTCCTTGGTCTCTCCTGGCTTCTGACTCTGGAATTTATTGCCCACTCCCTGACGTCCATCCCCCCCAACCACTTCCTCAGTACCTTCCTCCTCGTCTAGTTTCTTGTCCAGTGCTATGTCCTAGGCCTGTGCTGGTCTCTGGGAGGCGGCACTGGTCTTCCCGCCTACCTAGCTGTAGAAGTGTGCCTGCAGTGTGGGGGTCTTGCTGGGTAGGGAAGCCAGCCCAGGCAGTGGGCCTCACCCAACCCTGCGCCCACAGTGATCCACTCAGGGGACTATGTGCTGTTTGAGTCGGACAGTGAGGAGGAAGAGGAGGCACAGCCCGAGGACACCAGGCCATCAGCACAGAGTGCCTTCCAGGTGAGGATGGGTGCTCACAGGCCCACAGCTCTGGGTCGTTGCCCCAGCCTCCTTCAGACACCAGGCACAGAAGCAGGGTGATGGGCAGCCCCTCCTCACCTCACCCCCACCGCAGGACGACCTGCCTGTGTGGCATCCCTGGCAGACAGGCCTGGTGGGAGCCTGAGGATAACAGGCAGGCCTGCTTCCCTACACAGCCCCTTCCCATCTGCTTTCTGCGTTTCTCATGCTGGGTACGGCACCGGGTAAACCAGGAACCCAAGGGCCTGCACCGGGTAGGCCTCAGGGTCAGCTTCCCAAGTGGCTTGGCCAGGGTCCTGACCCCACGCCCTTCCCCCAGATGGCGTACCAGGCGTGGGTGACCAACGCCCAGACAGTCCTACGGCGGCGGCAGCAGGAGCAGACACAAGAGGGGCAGGCACCCATGGGTGAGTCAGTATGGGCCAACCCAGGGCTCTGGGGTACAACCAGGCCCTGGGGGGGATAGTGCCCATGGCAGCTGGGCCCTGACTGGTGTCCTGTGCCCAGGAGGTGACCCAAGCCAGGAGGCTGAGCCAGCAGAGGCTCTGGAGGATGAAGCAGCAGGTGTGTGAGACTGTGAACTTTGGGGTAGGCGTGGATGTAGGTGGTGGTGGGAAGACATCGACATGCCTGCATCTGCCTATGCCCCGCACCTCCCCTGGCCAGGCCGCAGCCACGTGATGCAGCGGGTGGTAAACATGGTGCAGTTCCTGTGGGTTCTGGGCCAGGCGCTGGTGGATGGACTGACACGCTGGCTGCAGGCCTTCACACGCCAGCACCAGACCATGAGTGACGTGCTCCGCGCCGAGCGCTACCTCCTCACACAGGAGCTGCTGCGGGTGAGCACCCCTTCCCTGCCCCCCCGCCCCGGGGCTGGCTGCCCATGACGCCCCCATGCCTGCAGGGTGCAGAGGTGCGACGGGGCATCCTGGATCAGCTGTACGCGAGTGAGGACGAGGACAGCGATGAGCTGCCAGGCCCTGCTGACGGCCCGGAGGCACCGAGCACAGCATCAAGGCAGGTGCATAGGGGCTGGAGGAGGGTCCCCACCTCGCCACGGGCCCCCACCCTGGAACCCGTACCCCACCTACCCAGCCAGCTGCCACCCAAGAGTGCCCGGAACCATCCAAACCTTCAGGTGCCCCTTCTGCCCCCCTCCCTCCCAAGCCCATGTGACCCGAGCCTCTCCCACCCACAGTGGGCTCGGGGCTGAGGAGCCGCTGAACAGCACAGCCGAGGACACGAGCAGCCCCCTGACCACAGGTTACAACACCCGCAGCAACAGCCAGGAGGTCATGGCCGACCCTGAGAGCCCTAAGGCTGGGCCCTCCCGCCGTGGCTCCCGAGAACTTCTGGCCAACGCCCGCTTGCGGACACGCACGGCCAGCGAGTTGCTGCTCAACAGGTAGGGGTGGGGATCAGGGGTAGGGTGGCCCCTGGCTCTGCTCCACCTAGGACAACCCCTTGGGGCTCGAGGGGAGCCCACCTGGGAGACCTGCGGGCCCCTTCTGGCGGACATGCCCCCCTACTGTCTGCCCACCCAGCCCAGGGTCACCCCCTTGCCCACCTGCAGGCGCCTACACATCCCCGAGCTAGAGGAGGCAGAGCAGTTTGCAGCTGGGCAGGGCCGGCTGCTGCGGCTGCTGCAGGCTGGGTACCAGTGTGTGGCAGCCCACTCGGAGCTCCTGTGCTACTTCATCATCATCCTCAACCACATGGTCACTGCCTCGGCCGCCTCCCTCGTGCTGCCCGTGCTGGTCTTCCTGTGGGCCATGCTGTCCATCCCGAGGCCCAGCAAGTGCTTCTGGATGACAGCTATTGTCTTCACCGAGGTGGGTGCTGCGGGCGGGAAGCGCCAGGTGCACGTGGGGCCCCCACATGCTGAGCCCTCGCCCGCCCGCCCACAGGTCATGGTGGTCACCAAGTACCTCTTCCAGTTCGGCTTCTTCCCCTGGAACAGCTACGCAGTGCTGCGTCGCCACGAGAACAAGCCATACTTCCCGCCGCGCATCCTGGGCCTGGAGAAGACGGATGGCTACCTCAAGTACGACCTGGTGCAGCTCATGGTGCTGTTCTTCCACCGCGCCCAGCTGCTGGTGGGTGCTGCCCATGGGTCAGCATCAGGGCCCGGGCGGGGCAGGTGGCCGTCAGGAAGCTGCTGGTGGGTCAGCATCAGGGCCCGGGCGGGGCAGGTGGCCGTCAGGAAGCTGCTAGTGGGTGCCGCCCAGAGGGCAGGGGCGCCCGGGACAGCATCAGGGCCTGGTGGGGTAGGTGGCCATCAGGACAGCACTGAGGGAGGGCCAGCACCCTCTTGGGCCCTGGTCGTGTTGAGGGTGGGCAGTGAGGCCACAGGCTGCCCAAGAGGAGGAGGACTGGCCTCTCCCTCACCGATCCCCTCCCTCTGCCCCAACTACCCACCCACCGACAGAACTACGGCCTCTGGGACCACAAGGAGGGCTCGCTCCGCAAGGAGCCTGACCGAGGCAGTGGGAAGGAGGCTGAGGAGGAGCCAGCTGCACTGCCAGGACCTCATCCAGAGCCAGGGGTGGCCGGGACTCTACCAGACAACAACGTACCGGTCAAAGCCAGGGCTGACCCTGAGGACGAGACCCCAGAGGCTGAAGTGGAGCTCAGGCCTCGGAACCCACAGCACATGGGCCTGCACTTTCGGAGGAAAAGGAAGAGTGCAGAGCCCAGGGGACCAGTGCCCGGCGGTACAGTCGCCCTGACCCCTGTAACTCAGGAACCTCCAGACCCGTGGAACTAAGCGTCTCCCTTACCAGCACACCACCTGCCCCCAGCCCGCAGTGCAGTCACTCTGACCCCTGTAACTCAGAGACCGCCAGACCACATATGTCAGGGTCTGCCATCCTTACAGTGCACCACCTGCCCCCCAGCCCAACTCTGGGGAGGTAGATGAGGCAGGAGTGGCCATTTCACAGTCGAGACTACCAAAGCCAGACACAGGCTGACCCAGGACTCCAGCCCTGCTGTGCGGTGTGGGCGCTGGCCCTCTCAGGGCGGCCTGCAGCTGTACCTAGCTTCATTTGCTGGTGCAGCATGTGAGAGCCCACTGGCCTGCACTACACCTCAAGGCTGCCCTGTGCAGAAGCCGCAGCCTCGCTGCCAGGGTACACTGGCACCATGCTTGGGCTCGGTCTCCTTATGCAAAATGTGGCAGTGCCAGTCCCCAGGCTCGTGTCAGGGGCTGGGGGAATGAGGGTGGCCCAGCCCCGGGGCTCCAGCAGCAGCAGCTTCTGCCCCACAGGAGCTGGGGAAGGAGAAGAGGAGGAGGAGGAGGAGGAAGGGAAGCAGGCTGCAGCCCCTGGGAGAGCCAAGAAGCCGAGCTGCTCCCGGGAGAGGGTGAAGGCAGCCGGGCTGTGGCTGCAGAGCTTCTGCTTGTCACTGTGAGTGATGTAGCCCCGGGAGTGGCCCCAGTTGGGGTGGGGGCCTTGGCCAGCAGGGAGCCTACACCCACCTGCCCGCCGCCTACAGGGCCCAGAGCGTGTTCCAACCCCTGCGGCAGTTCTTCCACGATATCCTGCACACCAAGTACCGCGCGGCCACCGATGTCTACGCGCTCATGTTCCTGGCCGATGTCGTCGACTTCATCATCATCATCTTCGGTTTCTGGGCCTTTGGGGTGAGTCAGGGCCCCCAGGTCACTACAGGCCAGCAGGGACTGCCCACTGGCCCCGGTAAGTGAGCTGTGTGCTCTCTGGTCACAGAAGCACTCGGCAGCCACAGACATCACATCCTCGCTGTCAGACAACCAGGTGCCTGAGGCCTTCCTGGTGATGCTGTTGATCCAGTTCGGCACCATGGTGGTCGACCGCGCCCTTTACCTGCGCAAGACTGTGCTGGGCAAGCTGGCCTTCCAGGTGGCGCTGGTGCTGGCCACCCACTTGTGGATGTTCTTCATCCTGCCCGCCGTCACCGAGAGGTGGGCTAGCGCTCCGCCTGGGCGGGGAGGGGGCGCGCGGGCTCGGCCGGGTCCCAGTCCCCTGACCTGGCCCGGGTGGTCTGTGCAGGATGTTCAGCCAGAACGCCGTGGCCCAGCTGTGGTACTTTGTCAAGTGTGTCTACTTCGCGCTGTCTGCCTACCAGATCCGCTGCGGCTACCCCACCCGCATCCTGGGCAACTTCCTCACCAAGAAATATAACCACCTCAACCTTTTCCTTTTCCAGGGGTGAGTGTGGACCTGTGGGCTTTGGAGGAGAGCCTGGGCACCTCCCCCTCAAGCCCACCTGACCAGGTCCTTCTGCCTTGGGCAGGTTCCGGCTGGTGCCGTTCCTCGTGGAGCTGCGGGCAGTGATGGACTGGGTGTGGACAGATACCACACTGTGCCTCTCCAACTGGATGTGTGTGGAGGACATCTACGCCAACGTCTTTATCATCAAATGCAGTCGCGAGACAGAGAAGGTAGGTGTCCTAGGCAGGGTCTCCCACAGGGGGCTCTGCCACTCCCACCCTGTGGACACAGGCCCTGGTGGCTGCACTCAGGCAATCCCATCAGAGCAAGAAAGCTGCCTTGGGGCCTGAGAGTGGTCTTCCTAGGAGGGTAGCGGGGGCCAAATGGGGCTTTGAGGACTGACTGATACAGGGTATCTCTGTGGAGCAGAGGCCTGGCTTGCAGGCCATGGCTGTGCATAGCGGGTGGGGCCAGCCAGGCAGCCTGGGTTGGGCTAGAATGCTAACCCAGGTTTGTCCAACAGCTTTACTGAGATGATTGCATACCATGCCCTCCGTCCATTTAAAGCGCACACTTCACGGGCTTTCCGGGTCATCAGAGCTGAGCATCTGTCAGCACACTGTAGAACAGTTCCATCCCCCAAACAAACCCTGTCCCCTCAGCCGTCAGCCCCCCACTCACCCCTAAACCCGTGGCAACCACCTTCTGCCTCCAAAGATTGACTGTTCCCACAGATAGAGCCACGTGATGTGGTCATTTGTAACTGGCTTCTGTCACTCAGTGTGTTCTCAAGGTCCATCTGCCTTGTCAGCTGTTCACCTGTTTTAACAGCTGGGTGCTGCTCCATTGTATGCACAGATCACACTTGATCCATTTGTCACTTGGTGGACATTTGGGTTTTTCCCACTGACTCTTAGGGATAAAGCTGCTGTGACCACCTGTGTACAAGTCTCCATATAGATACGTCTTCATGTCTCTTGGCTACCTGGGAATGGAACTTGTGGGTCATACAGGAACTCTAAGGAGACCTGGTGGCACAGTGATTATGCATTCAGTTGCTAACAAAAAAGTTAGGAATTTGAACCCACCAACTGCTCTCTGGTAAAAAAAAAAAAAGGCAGTCAGCTTCCATGAAGATTGACAACCTTGGAGACCCTGTGAGCAGTTCCACTGTGTCCTCTAGGGGCATTGTGAGTCGAAATCTACTCCACGGCAGTGGGTGTGGTTTTGGTTTTATAGTAACTATGTCCAACATAGGAGCTCTGGTAGCATAATGACTCAGGCACTTGACTGCTAACCGGAAGGCTGGTGGTTCAAACCCACCAGCCACTCCTCGGAAGGAAGATGGGGCAATCTACTTCCATAGTGATACTGCCTCGGAAACCCAAGGAGGGGTCGGTCGCTATGAGTCGGGGCCAACTCGACGCACATAACAACAACATGTCCAACATTCTGAGGAGCTGCAAGCTGGTTTCCCCCTGTGGCTACACCGTTTTGTATTCCGCTCCCCACAGTGTACACGTCCACCTTCTCCACCTTTGTCTCTAACACCATCCTAGTGCTGGTGAAGTGGTGTCTCATTGGTTTGTGTCTCTAATGACTGATGGTGCTGAGTGTTAACTTATGTGATTTTTGGCCACTTGTGCATCTTCTTTGGGGAAGTGTCTATTCAAGTTCTTTGCTCATTTTTTAAACTGGGCCATCTGTGTTTAAATGAGCTATGATTTCTTTAAATATTCTGGATACTAAAATCATTTTATTTATGACTTGCAGTAATTTTCTCTCATTCTTCAGACTGACTTTTCACTTACTTAATGGTATCCTCTGAAAAGTTCTTGATGATGTCTAGTTTATTTTTTTTCTCAGGTTGCTTGTTTTTGGTGTCATGTCTAAGAAACCTCTCCCAAACCACCGTCATAGAGATTTACTGTCATGTTTCTTGTAAGAGTTGTTTCTCACTCTCTTGACCCATTCTGAGTTAACTTCCATGTAGGGTATAAGGTAGGGGTCCGTCTTCATTCCTCTGCACATGGAGACCCAGTTGTCCTTTTCCTCACTGAATGGTCTTAGCACTTTGTCAAATGATTGGCCATCGATGGGAAAGTTTATTTCTGGACCCTCAGTTCTAGCTCGCCCCCCTCTGTTTGTCTGTCCTTGTTTAAGTACTGCACTGTTGTAAATACTGGAGCTTTATAGTAAGTTTTGACATCAGACCAAAGCTTGATGTTGTGGGGCCACTGGGTGAGCACGGACCACGGCTACATGAGGAGGCAGGAAGCATGGATAATGGGACTCTGGGAATGGTGATGGGGGTGGGTATCAGAGCATGACACCCTTTCCCCAGGGTGCAGAGCCCGGTGTGGCTTGAGAGGGGGCCGAGCCAGGCGACTGGTCTCTGTCTCCTTCACATGTCCTCGTCTCGGCAGAAATATCCGCAGCCCAGGGGGCAGAAGAAGAAGAAGGTGGTCAAGTACGGCATGGGCGGCCTCATCATCCTCTTCCTCATTGCCATCATCTGGTTCCCGTTGCTCTTCATGTCACTGGTGCGCTCGGTGGTGGGAGTGGTCAACCAGCCCATCGATGTCACCGTCACCCTCAAACTGGGCGGCTATGAGGTGAGGAGCTGGTCCTGGCCAGGGTAGTCCATGGTGACTGGGTGCTGCCCGTGTGGACCCAGCCTGGGCTCCCCCCTCCTCCTCACGGACCCTGTGGGGGGCCGGTCTGTGCCTCGTTGGCTGGGTGACTGGTCCCGCTGTCAGCTGGGTCACTGGTCCCCCTCTGTCCCAGCCCCTGTTCACCATGAGCGCCCAGCAGCCCTGCATCGTCCCCTTCACGGCCCAGACCTATGAGGAGCTGTCCAAGCAGTTTGACCCGTACCCAGTGAGTGCCTGCCTGGGGCTGGGGTGGCAGGTGGGCGAGAGTGGCCAGCCATCCCACTGAGGTGTCCACCCTGCCTCCAGCTGGCCATGCAGTTCATCAGCCAGTACAGCCCCGAGGACATAGTCACCGCCCAGATTGAGGGCAGCTCGGGGGCGCTATGGCGCATCAGCCCGCCGAGCCGGGCCCAGATGAAGCGGGAGCTGTACAATGGCTCATCTGACATTACCCTGCGCCTCACCTGGAACTTCCAGAGGTAGGTGGGGTGGCCCAGGGCTGGGGAGGGGCGGAGCCGAGAAGGGGTGGGGGCGGGAGGGGGTGAGGGTGGAAGGGGTGGGACTGGGTGGGGAGAGGCCCAGCTCACCCTCTTCCTGGCCCACAGGGACTTGGCCAAGGGCGGCACCGTGGAATACACCAACGAGAAGCACACCGTGGACCTGGCTCCCAACAGTACGGCACGGCGGCAGCTGGCCAGCCTGCTCGAGGGCACCTTGGATCAGTCTGTGTGAGTTGGGGGCTGCTTGCTGGGAGGGCCGGGGCAGCTGGGAGGGCCTGGCCTGAGCCACTGGCTTCCTCCCACAGGGTCATCCCCAACCTGTTCCCCAAGTACATCCGTGCCCCCAACGGGCCGGAAGCCAACCCTGTGAAGCAGCTGCAGCCCAGTGAGTGCAGGGTCTCCTTGTGGGGCAGGAGCGTGGGGCGGAGGCTGGGTCTGACGGGGACCTGCTCTGTGCAGATGACGAGGAAGACTACCTGGGCGTGCGCATCCAGCTGCGCAGGGAGCGCGTGGGTGCGGGGGCCGACGGCTTCCTGGAGTGGTGGGTGGTGGAGCTGCAGGACTGCCGCGCTGACTGCAACCTGCTGCCCATGGTCATCTTCAGCGACAAGGTCAGCCCACCAAGCCTTGGATTCCTGGCAGGCTACGGGTGAGTGCTGGGCGGCCTGGGGCTGGCAGCCAGGGGCAGAGCTGAGCCGAACTGGGGGTGGGGCCCAGTGGCCCAGGGGCAGAACCTGGGGGGGGGGCAGGGTCCTGGCACCCTTGGGGAGGGGCCGAGCTGACCTGGGGGCGGCACCGGGCACCGTGGCCAGGACTCACACCCATCTCCACAGGATCATGGGCCTCTACGTGTCTATCGTGCTGGTCATCGGCAAGTTTGTGCGCAGCTTCTTCAGCGAGACGTCGCACTCCATCATGTTCGAGGAGCTGCCCTGTGTGGATCGCATCCTCAAGCTCTGCCAGGACATCTTCCTGGTGCGCGAGACTCGTGAGCTGGCGCTGGAGGAGGAGCTGTACGCCAAGCTCATCTTCCTCTACCGCTCGCCGGAGACCATGATCAAGTGGACCCGCGAGAAGGAGTAGGGCGCCTGGCGCTGCCCAGGAGAACGAAGGAGCTGTGGGCCGCTCGGAGAGGCGGACCGATGGGCAGGCCAGCAGGTGGCACTCCTGGCCCACAGGGGGAGCAGAGGCCCCTGCCCAGGGCCACCAGCTGACACCTCCTCCCCAGCCTGCCCCAGCCCTAATGCTGCTGCCAGAGAGAGGAGCACACGTCTGCATGCAGACCACTGGCCCCAGGTGCCCCCAGGACCAGCCACACTGGGCCAGGGTCCTGGCCTCCGTTCCCCACTTGCACTGTAGAGTTTTCTAATTAAAAATGTCTTTATTTATACACATGGATGATTACACGCTGGGGCAGCCTTGCCAACTCTGGTCTCCTGCCCGCATGGATAGCCCCCATGCTGCAGCATTCGCCCTACAGGGCACTGCAGCCAGGCACTTGGGCAGGATGCTGGGTGTGCAGTGTGGCTGGCCAGCTCCACGCCAGGAGCAGCAACGGTCCGGGGGACGTGGCCAGGGCTCAGCTCTGGCCCATGCCTTCATCCTCACTGTCCTCGATCAGAAACTCCTGGACCTCCTTTGTGATATGGGCCCTGCAGGAATGCCACAGTGAGACCCCTGCCCAGCTAAGGGCAGGGCCAAGCCCAGAAGAGTCCTCCACCCAGAGCTGCCCCAGCAAAGGGGGTGCTGGGTACCTGTGGCTGCGGAGCTGGGCCTCAGTCAGGATGTAGGGCGGGAGGGGGTCCAGGGAAGGCTGCAATAAAGGGCCCGCGTGGCCAGGCTGAGTGCTACAGGGCTCAGGCTCCAGAGCCGAATCGCGGCCCCCCTTCCTCAGGCCAAGGGCGGGGAAGGCTGCTGTGCGTCCCAAGCAGGAGGTGACTCACCAAGTCCTTCATGTTCACCCGGCAGCTGTAACACAGCTGTTCCATGACACAGGCCCGGAAGTCCACCCTGGGAAAGCAAGGAGGGCCCATTCCCCTGGTCTCAGCCACAGTAGAGAGTGTGGGGGACCCCCAGCCCGTGCAGCTGCCAGGGCCAGCCACAACGTGGGCAGGTACTCACCTCTGGCCAGGCCCAGGCCCCCTGCAGCAGCCCCAGTCCCTGCCAAGCCCCGGCAAACAGCAGGGCACTGTGGGCTCCTCAGCCTGGGCCTGCGGGGCAGGGGGCAGCCTCTGTGAGGGGGCTATAGTAGTCTGAGCCCCAAAAGCTGTTGGACTGTCTGCAAGTGGAGACCCAGCTGAGGGCATGGAAGGAACGGGGGACAACAGGGGCAGCTGGCCCGAGACCACTTGTCCCCCAACCCCCAGTACATCATCCCCCAGAGACCAGGGCATGACCTGAACCTGTCCCGCCCACCCCCCAGGCCAGGGTACAGACCAACGCTGTCCACATCCAGTGCGCACAGGCATAGGAGGCAACGGGGACGGGAAGGGCTGGCAGCCCTGCCAGCTCGGGGGGCCTTGACTAGCTTCTCACTTGTCCTGTGGACAGGCAGGGTCAAGGCACCAGAGACCAGTGGAGGCCAGTCCCAGGTGCACCCCCTACACACGCCCTCACCCCACACCTGTACACGGTGCTGACAGTGGAGGGGAACTGGGCCTGCAGCCGGAGAACAAAGGCCTCTATCAACCGGTGGATGCTGGCCTTCTCAGGGGCCTGAGGACAGTCAGACAGCCGACTGTGGACCACAGGTCCCTGCGGGGAGGGTGGTCCCAATGGGAAGGGCAGCCCCAGCCTGGAGGGAGGGCAGGGCCCAGGCCGGAGCTGCATGGAGTAGGGGCACATGGGCGGCCTGGGAGAGGTGCTGCCCCCATTGCCCAGTGCTATGCCCTCCTGAGGTGGCCTGCCTCTCAAGGGTCCACAACAGGCCACCCCACGGCCCCTGCCGTCTGCATCCAGGCTTCCCCACCTTGGTGTGGACAGACGGGGTCTGCACTGTGGGGACAGCAAACAGGCGATTGTAGAAGACAACCTCCTTCAGGGTGTGCTCCCGCATGGGCCGTACCACCGTCACATCCCCGTGCCGCTCGTCCGCGAAACCCTGTGGGGGGCAGGGCTCCGACTGTGCTCAGCCAGCGGGACCCCAACTGCCCCTATTCCCTGCCAGCTGGGGGCCGAGTCACGCCAAGTGGAGGAGTGGGCTGGGGGACCCAGGAGTGGCCTAGCCCTGCGCACCGTGTCCCAGGCGAGAAAAGCCCCTCGTCCCAGTGCCAGGTTGGTCAGGAGCTTGACGGCCAGACGCGTGCAGCTGTCCCCTGTCATCACTTTAGAGTAGCCATGGGTGCGAGCCACGTGCAGGATCAGGTGGGTCCTGTGGACCAGAGCGTCTGGGGGCGCTGGGTGAAGGTGGGGAGGGACCCCGGGGGCCTGGGCAGGGCGGGACCCCAGGGTGGAGGGGCGGGGACCCGGGCTCACCGAAGGAGCTGCACAAGCTCCTCCTTGGCAGTCAGCGTCCTCACTGAGTTGAACAGTGAGGACAGGGCCTCGGTCTGGGCAGCTTTGGGCAGCCTTGTTGGCTTCTGGGGGTCCTGGGGGCGGGGACAGCTTGGCTGCTTCTCCGAGGCCAGGCCAGGGCTGTCCCCGGCCCCCTGGGTCTCCCACCCCTGCTGCTGCCGGATGAAGCTGTCCACAGCCTCCTTGTAGGCCTCAGTTCCCACAGATGGCTCCTGGGAGAAACGCCTCAGCACGGACTGGGGCAAGCCGAACACCTTCCGGGCCAGACAAGCGTGTGAAGCAGGCAGGCGGGGAGGCCAACCCATGCCCCAGGCCCACCCCTTCCCATCGCCCGCAGGGCTGCATGCCCACCTCTTCCAGGGCAACGCAGTGCCAGGGCAGGCCCACGGAACCCAGGATCGACCGCATCTCAGCCAGCGTTTCTGCTCTGCCCTCAGGGCTCCGGCCACAGGCCGCTCCCTCTGCAAGCCAGGCAGGAGTCACGGCCACAGAGGGGCCAGGGAGGGGTGGCCAGCTTGTCCCCAGACCAGGGAATGAGGGCCCAAGACCCTCTCCAAAGCCCCGAGCGACCCCATAGCGCAGGGACCCGTGTGGTCGGCTCCACGTGGACAAACCTGTGCACGGCAGCACTCCACGGGGCAGAGTTTTATGAACGCGTTTCCTTCGAGTTGGCAGCAGGTTTTGATTAGGGCTCAGGGAGGTGTCACTGGCCAGTCCCTTGCACAGCCCCTCTCCACCAGGGCCCCCACCCTCCCTCCACAAGGAGGTAGCTCAGATGCCCCTGCCTCAACCATGGTCCACAGCCGAGACTCGGGAAGCACGGTGTTATCCCTCTCAGCAATACCGCTAGGGCCTCCCCTGGCAGGGCAGCGCCTGCAGTACTCAACCCGTCCACCAGGGGAGGGTCCACTGCCCAAGCAACAGACCTGGAAGGAACCCAGGCACACCTACCATCGACATGGACAACCCCGGGCACGAAGCGCAGCTGCTTGGCTGAATCTCGGCTCAGGCCCTGCCGGGAGAAGCGACGGGGGGCTCAGCCAGGCCTGGGTCCGCAGCTAACTAGGCCAGGCAAGGAGCCACAGGACGTGCCCCCAGCAGGTGCCGGGTTCCGCCAGCACGTCAGCCTGCCCTGAGGAGCAGCAGCTCAGGCACGCGGCGGTGATGCTGCTAGGCCGGGCCCTCCCGGGGCCTCACCTCAGACTGCTGCCCTCCCCACCTCACCCGCAAAGCCCCTCTTCCTGCCGGAGCCCCTCCAACCGCAGCCAGGCCCAGCCCCCCAGGTCGCGCAAAGGCGCCTATACACATCTGCCTATCTGACACCGGAGCCCCAGGGCCTGGGGCTCCCAGAGCACACCTGAAATCACACTCTGCCTGGGTGATACCCCTGAATGCTACTCAGGGGGAGCAGATGGACGGGGTCACACTGGGCAGGGTGACACCCTGAGAGGCTTCTGGCCGTGCACCTCTTTACACACCTGAACCCCCAGGGCAGCCCCTCCAGCCCCAACCAGGGACTCTGCACAAAGGATGGCCCCTGTGCCCCAGAGCTCAACCTCGTGGCAACCCTGGCCCAGGAGGAAGGCAGGCGGGTATGGATGTACCTCTAGGACTTGCCAGAGCATGGAACTGGATGACGGCCCACCCGACCAGGCCAGGAGGACCTGGGGAGAGAAGGCACACACACGTCCCACAGGAATGTGTCCGTCCCCAAAGTCCCCAGGAACACAGAGTCTCCCCCCGGAAGCCTCCAGCCTCCACAGCTGGGAGAGCCAGCTGCCTGCAGAGCCAGGGCTCTGTGGGGCTGGGGCTGGCTCAGGGACCCGGCACCTGCACCCAGGTGCAGGAGGTGGACCCCAGCTCCACACTCACCTTCTCACCTGGAAAGATGAGTCGGTTCTTCCCAAGCACAGCCCTAAACTTGTGGACATAGTAAGCCCTGAAGCAGTCCCTGCAACACAGACCCTGCGGCTGTGGCCAAAATGCCAGGCAGGCCCCGGCCACCGCCCATCCCTCTGCCCCACCCCAGTAGCAGGAATGGAAAGTCTGTTCACCCCTGGCCAGCTGGCTAGACATCCAAGACAACATTTACTTACTCCTTTCTTAACAAATTCTAAGTTTAAGAAGGAGAGGGACAATGTTTGCTCATGACCAGAAGCCTGACTACACAGGCCAGGCGGCATCGGAACCCATCAAGGGGAGGAGGAGTTCTCGCCAGCGGTGGACGAGCTTCACCTTCACAGCGCTGCAGGCCCTGGGCTGCACCAGACACAAACACTTGCTGGGCCGAGAGGCTGCAAAGCCACTGGGAGTTAAGAGGCCAAAATGAGAGGGAGAGACCTGGCCCTGTCCTGGGAACTACGGGCCAAGTGGAAACAATTTGATGTTAGAACACGTAAACATGAGGAAGCTGGGGCAGGCCACACCTTCGTGCCCAGGCCTCTGGGAGTAGGGCTCTGCTCCCTAGCCCACCGCCCCCCCCCCAAGGGCTCTGCTCCCTAGCCCACCACCCCGCCCCCCACAAGGGCTCTGCTCCTTCACTGCAGCCCCTAGACTGGTGCATCCCAGAGCCCTCCACACACCCCACCTCCCTCATGGATAACACACGCATCAGCGAGGTCACAATCCCCCAAAGGACCTGCCTCTCAGTATGGTCTAAAACCCAAAAACACTCACTACCATCGAGTCGATTCCAACTCACAGCGACCTCCTTTGGGTTTCCAAGGCAGTAAATCTTTATAGAAGCAGACTGCCCAGTCTCCTTTCCGAGGAGTGGCTGGTGGGTTTGAACCGCCAACCTTCTGGTTAGCAGTCAAGTGCCTTAAGCACTACACCACTAGTGCTGCTTCTTCCGTGTGGTCTAGATGCCCCCAAATGCCCATGCCTTCTACACCTTACCCCAATCTAGATACCCCATCCCCACTTTCAGCTCTCCCCATAAGCTCTGACACTGTCCTGGGCTAAACCCAGTCCTGGGCTACATCGTCAGAGATTACCCAAGCAAGAAACCAATACTTCCCACCTTCACTCAGACAGCAGGTCAGTGGGCATGGCATTAGACGCAGAACTAAAGTAACCAAAGGCTTTTAAAAACAAGGACCAGCCTGGAAACTGCAGGCAGCCCTAACTACCTGCCAGGTCCTCACCTGCAGAAGGCATCGCCGGCCCGGATCACCAAGACTGGCACACCCTCCTTGCACTTCACACACTTTTGCTCTCGGCTCTGAAGACTGGGGAGGGGGCAAGGAGTAAAACACAAATTACACTGTCAGTGGGCTGCCAGAAGACAGGGTGCAGTTCCCCACCCAGGCTGGGTCAGAGAGAAGCACTATGTGTGAGAATGATCACCCAAGGGGCTGTACACAAACAGGGCTTGTCCCAGCCACCAATTTAAAGACCAAGGGGGGGGGTGCCCTGTTAGCCCTCGACAAGCCGGTTCTGGGGCAAAGAAGGTGGCTCTCTGACCAGCAGAGATGTCCCCAGTGGCTACAACAGGGAGCTGCAGGAGAGAAGCCAGCCTTGACAGCCCCTCTAGGTGCTGCGGAGAGAGCTCCAGTCTGCACCAGGCGCTGGGCGCCGAACCACTAGGGGGCCTCCCTTTGCCCGCAGATCCACAGTAGTGATGGCGAAGGCCGGGCTGGGGAGGGCTCCTCTGGGCAGGGCTCGCCGCCAGCCACGGCGCCGGGACCCGGAAGGCAGGGGAGAAGCAGCCGGCAGCGTCCGACAGCCCGGCTCTTACCCAGACCGCGGCGGTGGCAGGGGCTTCTTGGGAGCCAGCTCGCTAAAGTCCTCGCCCACCTGGCACATGGCTGGGCTTCGGGAAGCGGCCGCGGCGGTAGCGGTAACCGGCGCGTTGCGATAACGTCACACCAGCGCCGTCGCAGCCGTGACGGGCTGCCTGGCCGGTGGCGGCAGGCGCGCCCCGATGACGGCGCCGTCGCGGCCGTGACGCGCAGGTCGGGCCGGGCCGG